CAGGGTTTGGAGAGCCAAGGCAGATTTCTTACTAATTGTAGCGGCTCAGGATGAGATCATTGTAGAAAAAAGGCCGCCGAGGCTGCGCTTCCAACCGCCCCGCGTCGCGCGCCCAATCGTTTGCATGGATCACCACCTTAAATGCGTTCGTGGGATATTTCTATTTGAGGCAGTTCATCCTGTCGTGGCCTGCACAAAGACATGACCTGTCTATTTTTCCTCATCTCACCAGAAGTGCAGCCGCCGACGTCTAAATAAAATGTGCAGCCAAGCCCTCTGCATCTCCAGGATGACCAGGATGTGGTGTTACATGTTTTGTACAATGAGCAATAGTGCGTGTCATGAAATGTCACTACGACACAGTGTTCAAGGATACTGTATAAATGTGGGAGTATCTGAGGAAGACTCTTGTATTCTTTTCTCAATTATATTGGGGTCTCTGTTTTCCGGGTGATCCGCCCTCCTACTTATTTTGCAAGTCTTCGAAGTGGGTATTCCCTTTCTTGGAACCATCAGTGTGCTCGTTATCGTCCAATACTCCTCTGCGTCCCCGGAGAAGGCTATGAAGAAGGGTTGCGTTTACCTCAGAAAACCTTTGTATCGAGAGGGTATCATGATTCTGCTGTGAACCCCGCTAGGGAGCGCTAATGCTTCATCAAGGTGGAATGTGGAGTCACGAATCGGTAGAATGAATTCAAAGGAAAATTCAACTTGTTCGCTGCGGACGATGGTATCAAGGGAGATCGGTTTGGCGCGGCGCCGGTGTCCACACTGACACGCCTCATCACTCGCAGCCAAGAAAGCTTTATAAGTATTGAAATGTATAGTACGCGCTAAAGGGAATCGATTAATTCTGCCCAAACGCGTACTCTTCCTATTCGCGAATAAGTTTCTTCTTGAATTCTTCTGAAATTATTAACGAAGCGCCATCAAAATCCCGAATTAGATGGACAATTATCACGGGCCACTTCAGAAAAACACATGTAGCTTTCGCACCTTGTTAATTTCCAGTGACCCTGGGGATTGAGAAGAACTCTCGATTCTTCTAGTGTGATAGAGTGGAGGGGTTAGTTCCGGAATGATCTTGTCGATGGCACAAATCATTCATGGAGTTAGAGAGTCACCTCTTTTAAAGCCACCCTGGAAAGGTATCTCGCATTCTGATGTCACATTGTCTCCGTTTGATGGCTTAAGTAGTTGTTTTGCTTCACATTGTTGTTGTTTTTTCTACTAATTGTGTTTTACTCTGTTTTGCCACATGGCCTTGCCGTGTAATAAACATAAACATAAACAAAGTTGCAAGTTGTCTAGCCCGAATATGGTTTATGGGTTATGAGAGCCTTCGACTGCTGAAAAGATGTTACTGGGTGCCAGGATACAAATACTCGATTCCGACAACAAAACCAATTTTAATGACCCTTAGAAATCGTCCCCGACGCAATGTGAGATGTGAATGACCCTTGTTTATTCAATGTCACCTAGATTGCGCTGATTGATAAGCAGTTATCAGCAAATGTGGGATCGAATGAGCGTGCAGCTCTTCTCGAAATGCGGGCTGACCTTGTCGAACTGGTGCAGCTCTTGAAAGAGCAGGTTAGTCTCTGATTCTCTAAGTTACATTTCCGCCAAACGCCGTGGATTTTTTCGCCATTTGGGTGCCATCGTGGCGGAGATCTCGCAAGAATTGAAAGTCCATTAGAGGACGGATGAATCCATGTTAAGGCAGAAGAAGAAGCTGCAGCAAAGGGTGATGGCATCACCGACGACATCTTTGCCGAGGGCCCCTCAGTCGACACCCCAAGTGGAAGTCAATATGGCTGAATTTGGTGGGCCTTTTTTCGTGAAAAACTTGATCGGACCTTTCAGCCACCTCTTTTTATTCTTGTTCAGATGACTTCATTGGCATGCGTTGCATGGCACCATATCCTAGTGCAAATCTCCATGTGTCGCATCATGCTGCTGTTATCCTGGAAGTCTTGCCTCTAGATCCAGTCAAGGGCTTGCAGGTAATTTCTTTCTCTATCAAAAATGTTTTTCTGACGGCACGCTCCGGATCGAGAAGGTGACTTGTGCTGCCCAGACACTTATGGCGAAAAGGTGAATGACTTGAAATTGACGAAAAAAGTAGAGAAAAACCTGCCCGAAATGCCCGATATAGAGCTCCATACTGAACCGCCTTGATGTGTGCATAAAGTGCAGAAGAGGCGTGATCGGAGAAGTTCTCACGTGTTGGTAACAAAAAGATACCAGTTTTCTCCTGTTATCACCTCACTCTGGCTATTAGAAATGAAGAGAGCTAGTAGCGGAATCACCGTACCACCTGGATCGTCATTGGTGCATTTGGTCGTGCTGCAATGCGTCTACCCAGTGCATCCCACACGTGCTCGATGGGATTTAGGGTCGGGGGAACGGGCGGGCCACTCCATTCGCCGGATATCCTCTCGTTCTAGAAGCTCCTCCACCTGTGCTGTTCGATGCGGTCGCGCATTGTCATCCATGAAAATGAAGTCAGGGCCGATTGCAGCTCTGAAAAGACGGACATGATGTTAGGAGAAACCTCGTCGCAGTAACGCTGGCTAATGAAGCTTCCATGCTCAAAAATTGGATGTCATGCAACATGA